AAGGGTCTTTTCCAACCTAAATGATGCTATGCATGTGACTTGAGAGAAAGTTCAAACTGGAATTCTAACAACTTGTATGGTGTTGTACAAGCCTGTTACATCCACATAGTAATGATGGATTCACTTTTTACATGTGCATTTTAGAATTCAGTGTTTAGTTCCCTGACTTTTGCTCACAATTTTGTGTACCAGTTGTCACCAATACATATATAGTACTTTTTATTTTTTTGACTCTAGATGACAAGTATTCCAGATGTATAACCAGATCCTAGAGTTCCATATGTAGTTAACATTATAGAGAATTCTCATTCTAAGATGCACAACAGTAACTACGGTTGTTTGGTGGCTGTGTTCTCTAGATTACATGCAGCAGACTGGTGGCCAAGCACATCTGTTTTTTTGGATGACAGTGGAAGGATACAGGGTTACGGCACAGCAACAGCTGGAGGTACTTCAAAGCCGGCAGAAAGATGGAAAACATCAGACTAATCAAACCAAGGGTCTATTAAGAGCAGCTGCGTTTGGAGTTTATGAGCAATATTTATCAGAAAAGGTAGGAATAACTTATTTCTGCATTGGTTGGAATTTAGTATTATACAATTTCTGCAGATGCTTCTGTGGTAGTTATGGCTACATTAATATGAAATGGGTTTGATGTAGCGCAAGTTGACATGTAAGCTATTACTTGTGTATCTTCCCTTATGTCAAGCAGTAAGAAAATGCCTTCCTTCCCCACCCTTTAAAAAGGCTCATACTGGCACTGGCTGTCAGATGCACTTAATGTGTTCCTTAGAAGCTGACTTTCCAGAATAGAGGAAAACTAGAGAAAATGTGAAGACAGAATAAGAAATTCTGTCCCTTTGTGTATGCTGTCCTTTCCCTTCCTTTTACCCTGCCCTCCTCCCCTTAAGAAGAAATGTTTAAAAAAAAATGCAACCCAATATTTGTACAAACTTAGATTAAGATTGGGTTTTCAAATGAGATAACTTCCTGTGTCTCTCTACAAATGTCTGTATAAACTGCTCACATATCACTGTTGGGTATCTTTCCATAGGCTAAGCTTGAATGCTTCCAGTAGTCTGGTATTAGTGGAGTCTTCTGTGAAAGAAAACACTTGTCAACTTGTGTTAACAAAGCAGCTTTGTTCTGAGTTTGTGTATGCATAAAAATGACCTCTCAACTCGCTCAAAAGCTTCTCTCAACAAATTATCCCTCAAATACCTTGTAATGCTTCTCTTTCCGCATTATTTTTTTCACTCTGGTTATTCACCTCGATTAGTCTATCGACACAGTGATCTGTACAGAGCTTGTTCTGATGGGTTTTTCACCCCAATATTCTGTCGACATGGTGGACTGTACAGAGCTTGCTCTGATGGGTTTGAGCTGACTGTATGCTCACCAGTTTGAAGTCAGAAGCCACCTAACACCGGAGCTATTCCAAAGCTGGCTAACTCAGCCTCTCAGCTATGCTATCAAGTGAGCTATGTCGGGTCTGGTTCAGTGCTGGCTCCCTGTCTCTGTTACAGAAAATGGGGAAAGTGTGTGAACTTGGGCCCATCTAAAAGAATGCTTAATGGGTAGTGGTTTGAAGTATGTCATATCAAGGGATGACTGGGAATCTGATGGCTGATATAGTTTGTATGCTGGTAGCTGTAATAGAGTCTGCATAAAAAGCTACCATGATTATAGCTAATGGTAATCTCCTCAGAAATTGGCAGAGTTGACAAACTGTTAGCCTTTCCTCAGATGCTTCAGGACTTCATCCATTTACTTTCTTACTGGCTTTTTCTTAATTTCTGAATCTAGATCTTTCTATTCATAAATAAATAAAAACTATTTTTAAGAATGAGTAAATCAGTGTAGATATTGCTTCAAAATAATGTGCATAAATTGTTTTTGAGGTGATTCTTAGTATTCAATCCTGAAACTTCCGAGTTTTAATACAAACTGAACTTAATTTTGCGAGGAGCAAGGGGTCCGACTGTTGTGTGTTCTAGACAGTTCTAGAGATATACTCGTCAAGAAGAAATTTAGTTTACTTAGAGAATTGCAGAATTGTATTGGATTTTATTTGTGAAAATAGAAGCTTTCTTATTTTTATGCTGCAAAAGTTGATTTAGATCTTTATGACAGGCATCTCCAAGAGTTAATATTGATGACAACTTAGTAGCAAAACTGGCAGAAACACTGAACCATGAGGATCCAACACCTGAAATCTTTGATGACATTCAGAGAAAGGTATACTCTATTCATCCTGTATTTCATATAGACTGTTAATGCTATGGAGTATAAATGTCACTACAGCCATTGAAAAAGGAGGAAGGAACTCAAGTATTGGAAAACAAAAACCTGTTTTACCATTTTCCTATTCTATAAAAATCATCCTCTAAATTGCCAACTTTTGCTTGGCGGTACATAGCCCATGGTTTTCAAAGCAATAGATGGAAAGATAGGTACATAGCCCATGGTTTTCAAAGCAATAGATGGAAAGATTTGTGTTTACGCACCAGTTTAAGAAAAGTGCCTGTGTAGAATAACTAACTGGTACAATTTTGGTCCAGTTTTAGCGCTCTCTTTCAAAGGTGGATGTCAGCATGTTACCATATTAAATTCTATATCTCTTTCCAGAAGTTAATTTGACTGTTCTGTTTCTGCAAGCCTGCACAGTGTAGCACTCACAAGCAGCAAGTACTGAAGATGAAACAGTCTTTTTTTTACTACCTGCATACGTAGATTTTATCACTCAAGTCTTATATCTATCTATCTATATATATATACACACACACACACATATATATATATATAAAAGTGAATGATTAATATCCTGGCAGTAAATTGTATCCCAGTCTGAGAGGTTTTTATTTTAGGTCATTAACTGAATGTTCTGATTCATGCTAAAAATTAGTGTTATGAGCTGTAGAACTTAAAATGACTTTATTGTACTTGAGGCCCACATTTAAGACTAATGAAAACATCTTGTGAAATCTGTATTGCCCGAAGTAGGTTACAAGGGCCTTGTGTGTGATTTCTGCAGAAGAGCATAGATTTCTCATGTGTTACAAAAGAAATTGACTTCCTCAGACTTGCATGAAATTTTTTTCCATTCTTACCAGGTGATAGCACTTGTACAAAGCGTTCCATGGGAAAAAAATCATTATTAAAATATTTTAGAGTTGACATAAATATCCAAACATGATGAATTACTTCCCACTACATGTAGTTAGTTACATGTGTGTATATGTATATATACTGTCACTGTATAGGCTATATAGATAACTTTTTGAGGTGGTGTGGTTAAACCTTTGTGAGATAGGGTTATACTGTATTGGCTGAATTGGAAACTTTCAGGAAAGTAGTATGCAGTGTCTTCCCTCCCTCCCTTTCCCTCTTCTCACCTCTGCCCCTAGATTTTTGATCCTAGATCATTTTAGATTGGATATTAGGAAAAATTTCTTTACTGAAAGGGTTGTCAGGCATTGGAACAGGCTGTCCAGGGAAGTGGTTGAGTCACCATCCCTGGAGGTATTCAAAAAATGTGTAGACGTGGCACTTCAGGACATGGCTTAGTTTCAGGACATGGTTTAGTTTAGTGGTCATGGTGGTGTTGGGTTGATGGCTGGACTTGATGATCTTAAAGGTCTTTTCCCACCTAAAAGATTCAATGATTTTAAGTGTTTGCAGGTCTATGTTTACAGTTTATCAACAAAGAAGGACTTTGAGAGATAAGCTGTTGTGAAATGGGTAAAGACCAAATGTGTGTATAGTGCAATTGGAAGGGTAAAGGGGAGAGGAAGGAAACATTTACAGTTAACTTGCTACTTCCCTTCCTATACATGCATGTCTCACTAGTTAAAAAAGTATTTTCTGAGACTGTGTTGTACTTCTAGCACAATTAGTTCTCATAACCTTTCTGTTAAAAGTAAGCCTGAATTGAAATTCCACAAGCTCTCATTAGGGTTTTAAAGGAAACCCAGAAATGCACAGATACCTGTTGGTCAAGTAGAATTTATGAAAGCTTGTCTGATTAATTAAAAAATGTAGTAAGTATTTCTAAGGTTGACATTTTTATTTCAATAAGGTATATGAATTGATGCTGCGAGATGAAAGATTCTACCCTTCGTTCAAACAGAATGTGTTGTATGTGCGTATGTTAGCTGAGCTTGATATGCTGAAGGATCCTAGTTTCAGAGGATCAGATGATGGTGAAGGAGGTGAGCTCTGTATCTAAGGGGCGTTTCCTGGGACCATTCTTTTTTGTTCTAAAATGAAAATAAGAAAATTATCCACAGTATTTTTGATAAAACAAAAAGTCCTGTACTATCTCTGATCTTCAAATTAATGTTTCCTCCTAGTGCTTTTTTTGTAAATTGTTTTGGGAGTCAAATAGCTTTTTCTGTAGTAACTTTATTTAATCTCATGTACGTTTTTTGTCAAGTCTTGGTAACAACAAGAGTGTCGCTAAAATAAGTGTGCAACTCCATTCTCATTTTTTATTCAAAAATATTTGAGGTACTACATGTTGGGTTTTAATATGTAACTATATTCTTCATCTGGAAATAGAAATTGAAAGTACATAGGAGGTGGTTTTTAAAACAATTAAAATCATTCTTGTTAACTGAAGTACAAATCTAATGGAAATGGTTTAACTTATTAAACTGACTCCTTAATGAAGCAATTTCATGTGGTGATATAAGCTTAAAAATATTTTTTTTCTGGAGTATTTATTTCATATCTCTAGCTGTAAAAACTTACTTATATTTTATGTTAGGTGTCTTTATTGGAAACTTGAAGTAGTTATATATTGGACACAACGTTCTGCCCAATGCAACAGTTGTCCATTATTTTCCATAATGGTTTGTTTTTGCATTTTTATTTCTTGTGTGTGGCCCTACACTGGAGAAAATTCTCTAACCTGTTTTTTCCTTTCCCCTTCCTCGCTGCCCCCAGAATCTTTTAATGGGTCTCCTACTGGCAGTATAAATCTGGTAAGTGCTTGGATATTTTTTTTCCATTATTATTATTTTTTATCCCCAACAGTAGGGAAAGTGTTATAAAATAGTTTAAATTATGTATGTTAGAGGTTTTAGTTCACTGCAGTTTAATTTCTGAAGAAGTTCTTGAATCAAATTGAAATACACATAAGGTATCAATTAATGAGAACACTGTCCCTTTTGTACTTTCCCCTGTGTTTAATGAAATCTTGCATTGTTTCTCACAGAAACAGTAATAATCTATAGTTAATTTATGCAAAGCATACTTTCTTATCCCTGTTTGTTTTTTAATAGACATAAAATTGGAGTTAGGTAATAATAGGTGAAAACAAATCCTTTGAAACTGAAATCTCAATGGATTAAATTCAAATAGACTGTAAATGAGGCATTTAATTAGATTTTTATAGGTTGGGTTTGTTTTTTTTTGAGTTAGGACTTGATTTGGAACCATAAAAGTATCTGGAGTTTATTCAAAATATGAATCTTTGTTTTCTAATCTGACCAATTTCAAGTTCAATTTTTTTTTTTAAAGCAGTTCTTGACTGGGTCAGTTTGTCAGAACCTTTTCCTTGTTACATGAATGTACTTAAATATTTGAAATATACTTCTGCATGTACTAGTGGCTGCATATGTATGAAGAGAACTGTATACTTCTACCAGGCTTTTTAGAAATAATCTGTCCCACATAGATCTTACTAGTTTTAAAATGTTTTAAACCAAAAATTAAATCACAGTTATTTAAAAAGAAAAAAAATCGTAAAAATTTTGATGTATTTCCTCCCTCTTACTTGTTTCTTCAGACTATATGTAGCTGAGCCACAAGATATGCAAGGTTCAATTGTGCGTGTGAGAGTATTTTTCCGAATCTTTTACTTTTAGAAAGTTTTGCAATCTGCATGCAAGTTCCTGGCTTATGTGATTCATAGGTCCTTCTAATTCATTCTTTGAAGATGCTGTAGCTCCTTAGGAGTTCCAGTGCATTGGTTAGATCATGCTTGCATGCAGAGGAATGGAGTTTATTTTGTAAAGGAATACATTTAACATAAGTGTAAATATGTTTGTGTGGGGGTTGTTTGTGGGTTTTGGTTTTGCGGTGGGGTGGGTTTTTTTGAAGCTGGAATCTTTTGCCTATTGTTTTCCTCTTGTTTACATTTTGAAATACAAAGAAAAGGGGATGTTGTCAGCTGATAATAATTTACACAAAATCCTGCTAGATGCAGAAGGAGAACTTAATTAGCCATATTTTTATAAATTTTTACATACATTTGTGGTAATGTCACAAGAGATTCTTTTTAATTGACGAATCTCTTAAAAAGATCTTTCAAATGTCTCAAGTACTTTTTCTAAGAATGTTCTGACATATCAAAGTTGTATCTTATAGATGGGGATTTGCCATTGCTGTGGCTCATCTGGCTAGTCATTATCTGCTGCTTAGTTTCATGTGGCCTTTCCAAACTAAGCTAGAAAGTTTTAAAGCCTTTATCAAGTACTGTTGCAATACAAATGGATATTTGCATGGGACAATTCAAAGTCTTGATTTTTGTTGTTGTGAAAAGTATATTTGCAGAATATTACATTTAATATTTTTATAAAGAGCAAAGAACGTTCTAGCAGAAATGCGTAATAAATCTCTGTTTATGCAGAACTTATGCTTTCTGTAGTCCATGTTGTTCAGGGTTTTCAGTGCTTTTACAGGTGTTCGAATACTGGTAGATTAGTTTTTCCTGGCTGAATTCCATGTCAAGAGTAAATTTCTGTACACATAGTTTAGCTCCCATGTGTTAGTCAGTTACTTGAAGAAAAATAGACCTTGGAAAGGTTACTTCAAAGGTCAGGGAATTTCTGTACTTTTAGCTAATGACAATGCATTAAATAAGATTGGGTTGTGGTGTGATACTTTTGCTTTTTAATTAACTTGTGTACCTGTGAATATATGTAATGTCAAAGGTATTGGGTCATATTAAATACGAACTGTGTTATCTGTTCAAGTTTCAACCATTTCATTTACTTGTATTAATTGTTGCTGTATAGTGCCTTGCCACAGCAGTTGAGTATTTCCTAAAGTTTCCATTATAAAATACATCATCTGCAGTTTATACTTTCACTGTAAGAAGGTATTTTAGCATTATTTGGAAGAGAGGCTCAAAACTGTTTTGAGGAAAAGTGATTTTACAAAAATATCTTCTTAATTCTGCCTTTTAATTTGACATATTAGTCTACTATATTAAACCAGTAGGCCATATTTTGGGGGTATAAAACCATTGTAGATATTTAAAGACTCTTGCAGATTTCATCTAAATGGATCCATAATCTGAGCTTTACATATTGCTTTTGCATTGAGTAAATAAAAGGAGTTACACAGGTGTTACACATCCAAGACCTTGAATGGCATCAGAAATGGCTGGGTTGAACTTCTGGCAGTCATTAGCGTATGTCAGTCTGAACCTCATTCAGTTATCAAGAAGAAAACTGAACTGTTAGGGTGGCAATGAAGGGAGACAGGAAAATGAGAAATAATGATGCCTTTTAAAAAATTTAACAGTAGCTTAATGTTAGTGTTTCATAGCAAACAAAGTATTAGAGCAGTTGACTATTACTTTTTTCTTTAATAACATCCCTTCCATCTTACTGATAATCAAATCCTAGAGCTCTCAGAATATCAAGCACTTATCCAAGCTTCCACAAATTCCTGCCATTCATCCGTCTCAGGTGATATTCTGCTCTTAAATTTGGACACTACAGTATAGAGCACACCTTACAGTATTATTGCTGTCCAAGGGTGACTTGCTTAGGAATGGACTAAGCCATAGAAAGTCAGCCCTATATCCAACAATGACCAAAAGCAAGTGTCTAATGAAAATTATAGGAACAGTCCACTTAACGGTGATACTTCACCAGAATACTTTCTAGCATCCAGTAACTTACAGACTTGGGAATTCTTGAGGTAGAAATGATGTCTGCTCTTAAAATATTTTTTGCATTAATTCATCTGTTCTGTCATTGAGCAGACATAAACTTTCAGCACTATAGTGTACAGTGGCAAGACAGATTTCCCAAATGGACTCATCTTCTACCTTTTTTCAGTCTGGGACTTTTGTACTGTAAGTCTCCAAGCTGTATCAAAATCTTTAGGAGACTCCTTACTGCAATACATGATAAAGCATAGTTAGTGTGATAACTTTTTTAACGATGCCATTTATTCATTATCTAGACTTCATAACAGAAATGTTATTCCCCTCGCCTTCCATGGTGGCTGTTTAGGCAGAGACTGATTAAGGTGGTTGAAGCAGAGAAGAGGTGTTCTCTTCAGAGAGCTTGAGAAGGAGTGGTGTAATACGTAGGGATATTGTGGAGATGATAGATTCAGATGAAGAGGGGGCAAGAGCAACCTTTAAATCACTTACATTTTCAAGTCCAACCTATATTTTGATTGTCATCACGTAAGAATGGCTTATGTTTAAGGAAACGAGTTTAGAAACTTGGTTGATGTGTATTGAGGTTTTAGTTTGACATAGGTATAGCACTGCTACCCAGTAGGTCCCATTCTGGGTAACTTTTTGTGGAAACTCACTATTAAACTGGCTTGGTTAAATTATAAAAGATAGCTGACTGCTTGCTGCATATTCATTTTGAAGAATTTTAGAATTTTGAGGTAAAGTATATAAAGTACCTGGGATCCCAGTGCCTATGAAATCTACTTAAGTACTTCCATCTTTTTTTTTTTTTAACCTGGTAATTTGAGATTAGGATCACGTGTAGTGGCCCATCCTCTATTTCTTTCAGTTGTGTATCCAACTTTTCCACCCAGCAATCTTGCTGAGCTTTATTATGTTAAGTCTTTAGTGGTCAGATCTATTGTATCATAAATAATAGAGAAGCTTCTCTAAAAGACCCGTTAGGCTGCTTTTAATCCCAATAATTACTGAATAGCGGAGACAGGGTGTTAGCCAGCTGAGGATGTACCTGTTCATTTTTTATGAGGGTAGACATTTCTGAGAAAAGTGTTTAGTGTTTTTTACATACAGCAGAGAAATTATTCAGCTTTTACTGCACTGTAGCTTTTGTGTGGTGCTTAAAGTCAGCTGAAGGAAAACAGGATGGT